CAGTATATATATATATATATATACAGAATATATATATATATATACTATATATATATATATATATACAGTATATATAGCTGAAATAACTATTAACTAAAATAATAAGCTTTTCACTATGAGCTTTTCTATTACAGTCGTCAAAGCACGCTCTATCAAAGAAAAGGTTCTAAGAGACTAAACCAAAAATAAAAACAATGTGAATGTTAACTGTAGGGGGCGCGCTGATATTGGAACCTTTGTATAACGGAAATAGGAATACGTTGTACTTTTCTTACTTCCGGTTGCGGATCCGGCGCACGAGACACACGAATGTTTGTCGTTTGGGCTTCCAGCGGGCGTTCAAGTCAAATAACTGGATACGGTGGCTGCATCTGATTGATTAAAATGGTGAGTTTTTTTGTCGGTTGTATTTTGTTTGAAATGGTAGTCGTTCGGTCGAGACCGTGTGTGTTTCGGCAGCAAACATTAGGTTTTGTCAGAAGTTAAAATTATTCGTAGTTAGTTTTTCGTCCTAAATAATGAACATAGAGTTGTCGTGGTAAATAAGAAATTGCCCGTTGACAGGAGTTTGTTCTGGGCTGATGCACCTTTTTGTTAATATTAAATTAACTTGCAAATATTGCTTTTCTTTACAGAAACCCATACTGCTGCAGGGACACGAACGGTCCATCACTTAGATCAAGTACAACAGAGGACACCTGTTTACCGTCGCTAAAGATCCAGTGAGTGACACGACATGATTGCGCTTAACAAGTGCCACCAATGACTATAGGATAGTAATGAGTTTGACGTCAAGAATATGGAATGTCCACGTGAAGCTACAAATGGCAACACGACTCTGCTAGTCACAATTCTCTAATAGTTTTGACTTGCAGTTGTGTTACAAACAAGGCTATTTGCTCTACAGTCCGTATGATATGAAAATCATACTTTACATTCATGTGATCATGAAAAGGGCACACGACTAAGGCCAGTAAATTGATGTACAGTAAACCCTTGTTTTTCGCGGGGGTTACGTTCCAAAAAGAACCCTTGATAGGCAAAATCCGTGAAGTAGAAATCTTTATTTTTTTTACAATTAAATACTCAGAAAAAGAAGAGAAAGAACGAACAAACCATTTTACAGTCTCAACCATTTGTTTCACAAATAAAGTAAAATAAAAGTACTTTAGAAACGTTTCAACAAATAACTTCTGTAATGTACTGTCAAATAATAATTTTAATCATCAACGTGAACAGAAGGCTTCAAATTGCGGAGATTAGCACCGCCCACCGTGAACGGGAGAAATTTAAAAATGATTACTTTGTCACCGATAGACAGCATCTTCCGCTGCCTTTTGGTCCCTACCGCAGGTTCTTTTGCCGGTCCAGAGCGTTTTGTCGACATTATGGGGTTTGATAAACTCGAAATTGCAAGAGAATTTGCACGTACGTAATGTCAATTTGGCAAGCTGTTTTACGTACGTGTACATATTAAACCGCAACGTTATTGGCGCACAGGTAGAGAAGAAGCGGAGTGACTTTTTAGCCAATCAGAATGCAGAACACAATGCACGATGCAAATCCGTGAAGTAGCGAAACAGTGAAAAGTAAACCGCGTTATAGCAAGGGATCACTGTATATTCATTCAGATTAAAAGGAAAGAGGTGCAACAAGGATTTCTTCCTGAGGTTGTTGGTGGCGTCAGTAATTTAGAGCAAGCCAATAATTTGTGAAGCGAAGCCATGATTGCATTGAAGCCTTTTAATATTTACCTTCAACACTGTCTCCCCACACAGGTGGCCAACGTGTGGTAGAACTCGGTAACTACAACGGACACACGGAGCTGTGCCATGTCCTCACCGGGGATTTTATAAGTTGATATCACTAATAATTAGCGATATGAAGGCCCTAGCACTTTCTGACTAGTGTCAGAAAATATAACAAAAGTGAAGGTGAACTCAAACAATAAACACTATAAACAAGGGAAGACTGGTATACTGCAACACTGTTATGACATTAAAGGTTATGTTATTATGCAACAGCAGTGTTGTGAAACCAGTAAAAGCATAATAATTGTAATATTGTGATTAATTGTCTGGCAGTTATTGTACCAAGTAAATGTGAAATCATGACACAGTTGACCTTAGCGTACGCTCATGAATTGCTGCCACGATACATGCTATGTTCCCTAACTGTCTCTTATCAGGGGACACCAAAAATGTTTTGACAGGATCAGCTGACAACAGCTGTCGACTGAGGGACTGCGAGAACGGTGGGTGAAATGAAAATGCAGGTGATGGATGGATAGAACAAAAATGCACAAATAGGTAAAATACATTAAAACACATGAGTAGCAGCACACTGCCAATGAATATGGGAAAACAGTGGATGTTAGTAGGCAATTATTGTTGCCATGTGGTGTTGATTGCAATCTCAATTAATATATAGTATATTTTTGTTATACTATTTGTTTTCTAAATTAATTTGGTATGATGTGTATGTATAGTAAAGTATACCTCCTATGATATGTATATACAAGCAGAACTAGTATAATTATAAGGATGTTATGTGAACAAGTATATAAAATAAATATATAATATATTAAATATATGCACAGTGTAAATAGTTAAGTAGTGAAATAATGGAATTAAATAAAGAGTTAGCATATAGGTGGTACCAGCAGACATTTTAGTGTTTAATTTTTGCTCTGTCTCTTCTTTAATGTCTGCCAGGTTCGATTTCAGCGGCAACATCATCATGTCTTCCACAGACGAGCAGATGGGCTGTCAGTGTTTCATGAACTTGTTCGACCTGATGGATCCACAGATCGGTAGGTGATCGTAATGCGCAACATAAAGAAATTAATACCGTAAAAGAAACATGACTTCAGATAGTACACGGCTTCCTGATTACTGCTAAAGAAATAATTTGCACACAGTATTATAGAAGTGAAATACTGAAATAATGAATCACAAACAGCATCTTTTGTAGAGCTTGTGACAATGAGGAACATTTTTTTTGTTGTTTATTTGTCAATATTCTGGAGAAGTCCTGAAGTCAACGACATCCATCCGTCTGTAGACCTCACCGTGTTCATCAGTGCCTCAATGGACAACACTGCCAAGGTGAGCACTCTTATGTAAATGATTGATGTGAAAACAGTTGTTGAAAAATGTTAGAAATAAAGTAATCAGAATGACATCTGGCTGGCCATCAAGGAGAACGCCCAGAGAAGAGTTTGGTTTTTAACCTTAAAAATGAAACCTGAGTTTTTAGTTTTTGAAGGTGAATAAAGAAAAGAGTTGTCCAGGAAGATGCTCAGTCATCCAGGTCGAGGTGGAAGAGTTCCATTAGGCAACTGGACGTGAAAAAGAGGCTTCTTCAGTGCTGACTGGCAGTGGGGAGTACAGCAAATATATACTGCGGGTGTGACAAAAAATAAAGCTACTTCAGGTCCCTCCTGTCGGGTGGGCCGTTGGGGTCAACAGTCGTTAGGAGTCTGATGAGTCGTTGTAATCCTCATCAGAATGGTTGTGGTACGTGGATGATGTTGTGTCTCAGCCCACCTCCTCTGTTGAGTAAAAGTTTCATGTCTAGTTGCCTAATGGAAGTCTTCAACAAAGAAAGGAGTTATTGTTTTCCTTTAAACTCTTGTACTCGTCATTGTTTATATATGTATGGAATTGTGTGGTGACCCTCCAGTCATTTGTGCTAATGACCCACGTACTTTTGTAGAACAACAGAAATAATTGAATCAAAATGTATTTGACGGTATTTATTGATTGTTTGTAATACAAGTATGTGTTAACTGGAGTAAACAAATGACAATTTGTTGAGGGTTATAAGAAGATAAATCAAAAAGGCCACACAGTAGTAGGTGTGGTTATTTTGTGTGTCCACTTGTTCATTTATTTACAATGATAATTTCCTTCAGTCTTGGCGTGTTGATCAGTCTGTCCATACTACAGACCTGGTAATGTGAATCCACTGACTTACGTACTTTTACGGGAATAGACTTTAGAATATTATAAGTACATCTTAGGAGAAATGAGTGGTACAGTTTGAAATGAACTGACTGTTATGGTTTTGGGTGAGAGGTTAAATGTCTTAAAAAAAAACAACTTGGTCCAAGACTTGTGAACACAGACTTGTGGCCATTGCACTTTCATTGTGAGCTGTATTTGACTTCAAAGACTGTTGTCAACCTTCCAGAATAGGCAGAACTGAAGAAGCCTCTTCTTCTAAAGGTAAAAGTTCATTATGAGCTGTATGACTGTTATAAACCTTCCAGAATAAAGAAAATTGTTGAAAACACTGTGCGCATTCATTTCCTGATATTTGAATCACTCACTGTGAACGAATCACTCACTGCGAGTGAATCAGTCTCTGAATTAATCACAAATTGTCAAAATGAGTTTTACATTCACTTGTCCTCTACTAGGAGTTTTCATTTGTGGTGTACTGCTCGGGCTGGACAGATTTGTTTTCGCAGAGTCGTTCACAGATTTGTTTTCGCAGAGTCGTTCCTGCAGATTTGTTCAAAGCTTCATACTTGCAGATTCGTATCATTTGTCATGTGACAGACAGCTCGGGTCTCGTTTGCTCTCATTCATCTTAGTCACTGTTACACGGTTAAACAACAATGACAGGGAGGATGAAGGACCCAAGTCATTGTGGTGTGTTTCTCTTTCTTAGGTAAACCATGTTGCCTTAAGTATCGTCGGAGAACTGCAGCCTGCTTTACAATGCCCACAATAGGGCTAAAGCCCCACCAATCAGATAGAAGAGTGGATGTCCCCTATTAATGGAAAATCATGCATTATAAGCATGAAGGAACATGAGGTAACTGTTTCATAATAATAATACCTTATAATTTCATTGCTATTATATAGTGGACTTATATATATTATTATTATATATGGACTTATATATGGAATATATATATATATATAAATATATTCAAATGACTATTGGATATAGCATATTTTGAGACAAACCAGTATTTAAAGGCATTTCTGGCACTATTTTTGCATTTTTTTGTAATGGTAAGGTGTAAGGCATGTTTTTAGTGATATTTTGAAAGTTATCACTAAAAGTCCAAAAAGTATTTTATATG